ACAACAACAACATCATCATCAACAACAAAAACAACAACAACAGGGTAAAATGAAATAATAAAAAAAAAACCGTTTGACTCGACGCAAATCTCAAACACAACTGCCACCATTTATCATACATCTCAATCTCCTCTATCGTGATAATCTAAAACCTTTATTAACAGTTTTATTCTCGTCAGAAAAAAACGACTCCGTCACAGTCCGTGACGTTTTCAAGGATTACCGTAACATTTATAAGAATTCCGTATTTCTCCTGAAATACATTTTGTGCATGCACCATTTATTCTAATTTTAGTAGTGAAACGCCGTGTCTTATATGATTTTATATAAGACGCATGATTTACTGCGGAAGGACACGATTTATTTTGCAAGTCGTCAATAAAAATGCAAGTACATAAAACATTCACATACATCAGCTTTACACTTTTTGACCTATGTTAAATTTCTGGCTTTGTTGCAAAACATTTTTATTTACATTTTCTTAAAATTGAAATACAAAGTTTTCTTATCTACGTATACAAAAAATAATAATGGACTGTGCAACTGTGACTAATATCGTGGAACTAGGCTAAAACACACGTTGTCTCCACCTAAACGGGAACTGTTTCGCATTTAGACAAAGCGCATCAGTGTAAGAGCTATTGCATTGCACTGTATTTGTCAATATGTCCATGATTTTGTTGAGTTTTGTTCGTTTTGAATAAAAAACTTTTAAAGTTTTTATTTATCTTTTTGATATTATTTGAATAGTGCTGTGCAGAGCCGCCTTTTACACAGTAAAGCGAGGTCACACATGTGCTGTTTTATTTTGGTTAGATTTGGTAACGGGTTTGATGCCTATACTGTCTTATGTACTACGTTTCTGCTCAAATTTGATGTTTTATCGTTGGTCATTTGCTTATTTAAATGTTATATATCGTTTAATTGGGATATTCAAGGCATTATGATAAAGCAGTACAAGCAATACAGTCCATATATAAGGAAGACACATGGTGTCGGATTCCTGCCGTCTTGTGACTCTTGTCACAGCATAAAACGAGTACTACTATAGTACGGGCGTAATAGAATGTTCGTGCCAACTGCGTAGATCCAAACAGACATTTGTCTAGTTTATTTGTGAGATTTAACGAGACTTTCCTGTAAGTTGAAATTTGATCGAGATTTTGTCTTCTACCAACTCCTTAAGGGATCAAACAGAGATAACGTAGCTCATGTTTTCGCGAAAATCAGTCTTTAGACTGATCTAAACACATCTGCTGATGTTTCAAAATTCCAAATTGTACCAGTTCATGTTAAATGTTGAGTTCTGTTTAAGCCGGTGCTAAGGGGCGTGGACGGTAGTTTGCACTTGACAGTACCGTCCATGATGCACATGACAGTACCGTCAATGAACAGGCTCTGCAACATTTTCAATTTTGCCGTGTTGGGCTTTCTTTAGGGATTCTTATTTTCTCTATTTTAAAGTACATGTAATCGGTCAAGCGTGAATATGCATGGTTTTCCATGCAGCGTTCATGCTTGAGCCGCAGCATTGAACATAAAATCAAGCCAAAGGGTTGGGTTGGGAGGGTGTTTGATCCCTTAAGGAGTTGGTAGAAGACGAAATCTCGATCAAACTTCAACTTACAGGTAAGTCTCGTTTAATCTTACAATTCTATCTTCTACCTAACTCTTTTTAGGGATCACACACATATTTTAGAGTTGATTTTTAGCAAAATCACACAAATTGTTTAAATTTACTACGCTTTTAGTCAATTTTTATGTTTGCTATACTATCATAATACAAAGTGCATGCACAACATTAACTTCTAAATGTTCAACAGTAATCAGTCTCAGTCTATTAATCCTGAAAAGCTGATTGAATAGTTAGTTTTTGCACTGGTTTGTCATAAAATCTTTAGAATGTCCTAACATTAGACCATCCAGCAGTTTTGGTTATCTTGTCAAGAGAAACACCTTTTAACTTTGCTGTGCTAGTGGCAACTGCTCTGGTGCTATGCAATGTAAAGTCAGAGTCAGTGCCAGCATTGGTGAGCAATTGTTTCCTTTCTTTGAAACACCTTTATGTTGGCTTTGAGTACTTATAAGCAATTATGATTGATCTTCAGAATATCACAGAACTTCTATCCTGCTTAAATATTTTTCAAAAGTTTTGACAATGCATAATTTCTCATTTTTGGATAATTAACCAGTGTTATTGGTTCTTAGTGGAAATTCGGTCGTGACTGTTTCAATAAGTGATTAGTCAAGTTCTGCCCGTATTCGTTGAATTTTGAGTTCTTGGTGCGTCCTTGAAAGTTGTTGTGTTTGTGTGTTTGCTCTTCTGTCGGAGTTTGTCCCCAAAGAGTCCCGATGCCGAAGTGTTAGTTTGTTAGTTTCGCTAGCACAACGACTCTTAAATGAATGGTCCACTTCCTTCCTGATTAAATCTCGCCTCTGGCTGTTGATTTTGGCGATTGTGCTGCAAATACTTTTGAAGGAGTCACCAATTCATTCTTTAAGGAATGAAAGATCTGGCTGATCATTGGCATAAGCATGATCCATTGCTGCTACCAGAGGTGCTGTCGCCTTATTGAAGTCATCAATGATATGTTGCTTTGAAATGTCAGTAGATTTTACCTTGGTTTCAGGCTGATTCCAAAGAAATTTGTCTATTTTTGACACCTGAAGAGTTTCCACATTTGATGGTCGTTTGTATTTTTGATGTAAAGCTTGATTTTTTTCTTTGTCAATTTTGTTTGGTCTCAAAGATTTGTTTACCACCTTTGCAACCGTTATACATGTATTGATGGCTGGCCCAGTTTCCTCTTCTTCAACAAAAAAAATCGTTTAGTCCAACTAAAACATCATCAGTTAAAGGACATCTATTATTCTTCTGTATGATGTGAAGGACCGGGTTCATTCAAGAGTCCATCAATATCTCCGTCGGAATTCGAATCCGAACCGTCCCAACTACTGTCAGTAGAACAAACTTTCCTCCGTTTGCTTGGTTCATTTTGTAAGACTTCGCCGTTATTTCTCTTTAAATTGGCTTGTATTTCACTCACCGATGTGGTTTGTGTACTTTCTTTTGAAGCTGATATTGATAAAAACCTGTACTTGCATAAAGAATCGTCTCATCCGGAATCGACTAAAATATCAATACCATATGGACTTGCCCTCCGTGCTAGGCAGAACATTAAAACTCAGTTACAGAAACGAGTCTACGAAGATCGACATATTGAAACAGAATTAAAAAAAAAGTAGATACTAGTAGTAAGAAAAGGAGTAACTTTAGAATATAAACAAGATAAAGAAAACACTGAAAGAGTCCCCTTGGTACTGACATTTTCTCGAGCGCTCCTGAATATAGGACAAATAGTACGAAAAACACCTACCTGAATTACACACCTCAGACAGAATGCAGGAAATATTTCCGCTTCCTCCAATTACGGCATTTAGAAGAGATAATAATCTACAGGACATTCTTGTTTATAAGAAACACAATAAACTATTTTATCAACAGCCGAATTCATGCGATCCTTGCAGATCCAAAAAGTGTGCGATTCGTCCATACGTCATTGAAGCAGACACATTTATTGGTGTGAACGGGGCCTTGATACGAAATCAAGCCAAGGTACGAAATCAGATCACGTGCTGATCTACGAATGTGGTGTATGCAGTTTATTGTAAGCGTTGCGGACGTTATATTTATGTTGGAGAAACAGGGGACACGTTGTACCAAAGACATCTAAATTTATCAAGAACACGAACCAAGTACAACGGTCCGTTAGCGGCGCATTTTTTACACGAACGACCACAGTTAATGGGGCTGGAAAAGCTATACGGGAATGACCAATACCGAAAAACAATTGAACATTTGTGGAAAAAAATAAATTAAGAACCTATAGATCATATGGAGTTAATACCAAAGAATAACGCGACAGACGGCAAACAACGCCACGGCGGGCGTCGTTCATTGACGTTACATTACTTCCATTGTTTTTGTTTTGATATATTTGTATGTAAAATAAATGCTGCTGAAGGAGGCCGCAAGGCCGAAAGCTACTGCAAATTTAAATTAGCGTTTTGCTTATATATATATATATATATATATATATATATATATATATATATATATATATATATATATATATATATAAGCAAAACGCTAATTTAAATTTGCAGTAGCATGAAACATGAGCTACGTCATCTGTGAGTAGTTAGGTGGAAGATAAAATCGGCTCTTATGAAGGTATGCAGTGCACAGCTAGCCATTTTACGCGTGCGCTAAACCTCGGTTGTATATATATTTACAACATTCATTTAATACTCTTATCAAAGAGATTGTTGATACAAACTATTTAAAATGACTTTCAAACTATCAGACTGATTGAGTAGCTAATATTGCGTTCATATATGCAATGATGCCTTGAATCATGTACATGTACGGAAACATTATTAAACAACAACAAACTGTAAGCAATCTTTTACTACATATCACATCCCTGATTTAAATCAAAAGAAACTTATTGTTTTCGAATAGAAAAAACTCTTTGTTATATTTAGAGAGAGAATGACATCAATAATACGTTACAATTTGAAAAGTCAGGATACGCAACATGAAAGAAAGTTTGAGTAAATTTTAGAAATGCAATTTCATATCATAAGAAAAAGTAAATAGTCTCTTTGTTCTTCATCATTGAATTCCAAATTTAGTGACACGTACATCTCCATGGACTTCAATACGATCAACCTCTTCTATTGCAATTCGATGTTTGTACTCGACGACAGGCTCGCCATTTACCATAACCTTTAAACGCAAGACAAATGTAAAACTTCTAGAAAGAACAAATATAGGTGTTTGAAGAACATTTTTCCCTATGTTTTTCAATTATCATACTGTTTCAAAACTTAAAAGATACGTAAAACAAATAAACAAAAAGAACCGCCAAGATTAGATTATCAATAGGAGGAGTAATTACCTTGTAACAAGAATTGTGCACCAGGATGACCATCTCAAAGAAATTGTCTCGTATGAAAGGATATGGTCCATTCAAATGCCTCTCCTCGACACCCCAACCACTAGATGTACATGAATTCCTAACTAACTCATTTCCAACCCCATAATCAATGCGTACGTCAAAGTGGAATGCAATTGTTTTTTCATTTTTTACATCCACACTAAATCTATTAAAAAAGACGATAAACATATTATAGTATTTCATAAGATGTGACGTTTTTGTATTCTAAGATAATTTTTAAATACTGCAGTTTACTCTTAATAATTCGTATGAAATTGTATTCATATTAGCACATTTTATCATTATCATTTCCTTTCATTTCAGTTTGAAATTATCTAGAAATAAGTGAGTTATTTATTATTTAAAAGAGAAAATAAATGAAATTTGTAGATTAAGATTTTTAATGGATGTAGCTTTTGTCAAATCTTACAATTAAATCATTGATTAAATTATATATATAAAAATCACTATTCATAGTACTTAGTTTTGTTTTACCTCTTTGCATTTTGGAATGGAATACCACTGATAGAAAATACTTGGCCCGGATAAAGGCGACCAAGGTATTCAAATGGTATCGTCTGTAATGTGTAATATTACTTCAAGATTTTGTATGCTTATATTTTAAATTATTTAGTCATACAAAAACAAAATTAAAAATGTCATGTTAATAATTGTTTTCAAATTTGAACGGATGCTAAACATTAAATATATGCATTAAACTTATAACAGACATGAAAGAGGTAGTAATAATTTTGAATTCTTCGATAATAGCTGATTTAGATAGTTACTTACCGGATTATATATCGTTTTGCTGAAGATAAACTACAAAAGAAAACGAAATTCAAAAAAAAGTCAACAAATGGATGATACTATCAGTACAAATAAATTATGATATTTTGCTACATACATATGATAGCTAAATTCGACTGTGGCGCCATCTTAATTATGTTGCATCGCCGCTAAATGTCGTACTTACCGCTAAATGTTGCACCAATACCGCTCAATGTCGCAACCACCGCTAAATGTCGCAAAATCGTATGGCGTTAAATGTCGCAATGGTAACGTTATATGTCGCACGATTTTCTCTTACCGGTAAATGTCGCAACACTTCCATTAAATGTCGCAAAATTTAAATTAATGTTAACCAAGTAACTGGTGGTATTAAGTTAATATTAGAATTATGTGTGTAATCTGGGGACAATCTATCATGTAGAAAATGATTTGATATACATGTAGTATTTGAATTAATTGGTTGAAACGAAGTCAACGATATTATAAATTGACGACCACAATTTATGCCAAAAAGTTACTTGGGAATAGATTAAACACATTTCTATACGTTTTTGTCTCCCGCATTTTCGAAGAAAAAATTGGGATATAAAAAGGCTTTATCTGTCTGTCCGGTCCTTCACTCAGCCATTCATCAAGGGATTTTAAAATAACATATGTTTACCAAATTAGGACGACCTGTCATGCGAAACAACCAGCCTCCACGGTTGTCCTACTTGGAGATCAAAGGATAACACTGTCTGATGGAGGCGGGTTTATAACTTTTCTCTCAATCAAGGTATTTGGAATAACTTGGCGCAAATGCTCACTATCTAAGACAACGTACTTGCGAGACAATGGTCATAGTCAACATTGTTTGATGGGGAGTATAACTCTTGTCCAATCCATAACGTTTTCATCCATGAAGGTCTTTTGAAATAATATGACACACATATTTATAATAATAGGACCACATGTCATACACAACACCAAGAATCCTACCTCCAAGGTCAATGTCACACTTAGAGGCCAAAGCTTAAAGTGGTCAGTTATAATGCCTTTTTGTGTCAGATCCACAACTTTTTCACTCACCAAAGTATTTTGAAATACGTTTGCACAAATAGTCACCATATTAAGATAATGAGTCATGCGCGACACTCTGACCTCTACCAAGGTCAAGGTCACACAAGAGGTCAAAGCTTTATTTTCCTTGTTCAGAGAAAATCTCAGAAAGTATTAGAGATTCCATTGAAACTTAAAATATAAATAGACTACAGCGAGAGGTACACTGTAATTCCACCTTGGCATTAGATTCCCTGTAGGTACTTACTTTCAGTGAAACAATCTCCTCAAATGTATTTCTGTAGATACACACACATAGGCGTTATTTCATTATATATGTATGATGAATGTATTGTTGCCTGTATATTTATCAAGATTTTGCACTGAAACTCAAACTGTCAAAATAATACCATTGTGTGCCTCATGTAAAACTTCCTTTGGGCTGGGGACTGTGGTAACTATGTTACAGAGTACAGTATTGTATTGGAATTATAGGTATTATACTATAGGTATTATCATATTGTTACAATCTGATGACAGTTTTATAAATTCGATTGATGCAGCAAAAATCTTATTAGTTTGTTTTTCTTCATTGCCAGTAAAAATGTGTTTCATTTTGAACTTCTCCACATAAATCATTTAAATAGGGAGGATGAATGACAGACATTTTCCTTGGCCCTACCTTCCGAGCTGATACTTATATCAGATAATACTTAAGTGTGAAACATAATATCATTTACCTATTTTGGTTTACTATTGTTTTTCAAGTGGCAACAAGCAATGCAATAGGAAATTGTTTTGAGTTTAGAAAGCAGCCATGTGCCTTACATCCAATGTACGAATTCTAGTAGCAATTTAATGAAAATGTACGGTGTCCCGTTATGGTCATCGCGAAACAATAACGAACTCGAAATAACGAAATTACGATGGTACAAAGTCGAAAGTAGGATGATGAAAAGTCAACAGTACAATGGTGAAAGGTCGAAATAAGGAAATCACGATGGTGAAAACACGAAATGAGTTCGTGTTTTCAATACCGTACTTTCGACCTTTCATCATCGTGGTTTGTTTATTTCAAAACATTTACATGGAACATTATTTTTCTAATTACAATATTTTGGACTATTTTCTTATATTTTTTTTTAAAAACGTAGCTCACATTAATATTTACTGAAATTCATATTAATTAAAAATACATTACGTACATGCGACTGTGAATTATCTAGTTAGTTTATAAAACCGTCTCATTTTAAAATTTCCACCGACTTTGAATAACAATCACTATTAATGGCTTTGATAAGTCTTTCCTGTAATTTAGGCATTGGGCAGAAGATATGTGATTGAATTATTTTTACATGTAATAACGTTTAGCTTTCGTTTTACTCACTGTCATGGCAAAATGGTTATGATCCCTTTCCATTTGCTCATGAGTGAACTCGTCTCAGACATATTGATTGCATCATAACTAGTCACATAGTACTTTTGGTACATTTTTTTCAAACATTCACATTTTACATGTTCAATTCTCTAACATATTTTCTTTAAAAATCAATGATAAAAAAGTAAAAATTCTTTCATAAAATGAAGTATGTTGATATTGGATTTGTTTTCAAACTGGCCTTAAAAAAGAGAGAAATTAACGGTGATCCACCTTAAAAGGTATCTAGTGCAGTAAAATCCTGTATTCCGTTTCTGATAGTTTGGTGCCGTTGAAATTAATGCACAATTTGTACTAGTCCACATTGGTGTCTCCAGAAGCTAAGAGTCTGTACATGAGGGATAATGAAAAAGTGCAACATCTCTCACACCCCTAGCTTCGATGAGCAGTACTCAATTTTTAACACAGGAATAATTAGTATAAAAAGCCATTACCAGTGATTGCATTTTAAGACCGGTTGAAATTTCATGCAGTTTCATAAATATCACAGCGGTGTATGTATTGACATTATTAGAAATTAACAATACATTTCAGTCTATTAAATGTATAAATGTATACTAGTATTGTTAATAGAAGTGACATGTGCAAAATTAGTATGAATACTTTAAAATATAATGATTAAAGCAAACAAATTTCATTGCCAGCGAAACCATTTTCAAACATGATTTTGTTTCATTAAACAGCCATCAGAATATGCTACCAAAACAAAACAAAATCTATTCAAGTTTGCTGTTCTTGCTATTCTGTGATGAATGACCAGCTTATTTACATTCAACGAGTTCATAACACTTCGCTGGTTGCATATACCTTAAGTGCGTGCTTTGGTTGGTTGTACTAGCAAACAAATTTACAAAGTAACAACATTCAAATAATATAATGATTGACGCTGAAGTATCATGTTGTATAAACATCAGCCCGCCATATTATGTCAATAAGGAACGTGTTTGTGTCCAAATTGTTGTGTTTACATAAAAATGCGATAGGGATGATGCCAGAGGAGGATGCTCTTAGCGTCACAACTTCTCCACTTATTACATAACACTAAGTGGTGGGAGCCTAGGACTCTGGTAGGGCAATGCGGTACCGGTAGATACTGATTTGATTATACTTTCTGATATGTCAATAATTAATATTATAATATCTTTTTTAAGTTCCTTATATTAAGTTTCCAATGTTTTCTTTTAATTAAAGATATTAAATCAGAAATAGGTTATATATATCAAAAGATTCCTCGCAACACAAGCTTTATCTTGATGAAAATTATCCAAAGGTAAATGTATAAAAACATATCCTGTTACGTGTATATAATGTCTTTGTTGGCAATTACTTTTTCGAGGATATTTTTTCGTTTGAGTGAAATATGGAATATATATTATTTTCACAAGCTGAAACCATCTAATAGACAATAAAAGTTGTTTACAAAAACAAAACTCTCGATAGCTTTTAATTGTATGCAATTATATTTTGATTATTCATCAGTGAGATTCAATATAATCATTAACAGCGAACTAGCACTTCTCATAACTTGCGAGTCTCATGAACACCAACATGTAACCGGCAAGTCATTTCGAAACCGGAAACAAAACTTGCATATCTAATGGTACTTGCAAATCTCATATACATCGTCATCTTATACTGTGTTGAGAAAACGTAACAAAATTATTATCTTAATTTCTTATAATGAAATGAATAACTGTAGCTATTGACTGTCAGAGAAAAATATCTGAAAGTAGTCACTAAATATAAATGTGAATTTTTGACCCTTTCATATTTATTTTTAAATATCTATAACATACTGAAACTTTATTTTCAATTGTAATAAAAGGAGAAAAATAAAACAAAAGAAAAAAACTTAACAAATTTTAAGACCGTAATTTGTTTTTTAAAGTGACAATATCATAAAAGCTTTAAAGGTGAAGATCTATGGACATCCAATCTCTCTAGAATATACTTCCTGGTATTTAGGTTATTTCGTAGCTAAATACCTCGGCACGTATATGTACATGTATTGTGCAAAAACCACATGAATGATAATTATAGATTTTAAAACCGAATAAGAAAACTGCAATTTCAACCAATCATTTTTGCGACATTTAGCGGCAATGGTGCGACATCTAGCGGCAAGTGCGACATTTAGCGGCGTTGCGACACATAAAGGCGCCATAATGACAAAAAGTCAAATTTTCTTGATATCAGCTTGTCACGCTAGTGCTTCGCGATCACAAGTGATAGATGTTACAACTTTAAAATAAGTGACTGAATGAAACGTGCACTGACGAAACAAAATATACGACTATACGCACACTGTTATGTAAATGACCTCGACTTTAAATCCATTCTTACAATAACCATTTTTAGTTTTCACTTTCTTGACTGCTAGTTGCATTGCAAAGTTATTTCGAGTGTTTCATTCTAACAAAGATTAGCTACAGAGAAAAAGAACACTACATTTTATCAAAAAAAAATTTTTGAGAAAGAATTTTATCCCCGGTTTTTAGCAATTAAAATATAAAATTTTAAACCACTACCGGGGGAAGGGTTCCATTCTGTGTTTTTAAAATATTGAAAGAGAAGTTTTTTATATATTTTTGCATATTTTTTAGAAAATTAAACAAATTTACAGTTTCCTTTTCATGCATTTAAAAAAATATAATTGCTTTTTTTTT